GGGGGGAGTGGCTCATTCACTATAAAAGAATATATGATATTGTAGTGGCTACATCCCAACATTTTTATTCTATACACTAAACCTTTATCACATCTAACTTCTTGTAAGGATGTCTATCCGTTCATCATTCTACAACCACGATGAAGATATTCTTTTATGCCAAGTTTATATGGATATTTCTCAGGACCCAATTATTGGGGTATACCAATCATCTGACCGATTTTGGTCACGTATAGAAAAAGCTTTCAATGAACAAAGACTTGAGCATTGGGAGGTTCGTAGCCAGAGATCTATGCAAGCACGGATTCAAACGATCGAAAAAGCAGCCAAGAGACTCCATGCATGCATTAAAGCAGTAGAAGATATGCATCAAAGTGGTGCTTCAAATGAAGATACAGTGAGTATTAAAATCTTATTATATTTTTTACTTATTAAATTTATTATTTATGTTAGCTATGTTTGATTGTTTATGAAAAATTATAGATGCTCAAAGCGAAAGTATTGTTCAAAGAAGATTCTAAATTCAAATCCGGATGGAAATACGACCATGTTTGGAATATTATTAAAAACTTTGAAAAATTTCAAGATGGAGCTTCGAGGAGCAAGAAAAAACAATCTGGTCGTTATCCATCTTTGGAGTTAGAAAATCCAACTCCCGAGTCTGCCAGACAAGAATCCCCAGGTATTTCTTCATTTTCTCTAAATTTAAGCAACTCGGATCAATTTGCTAGTGGTACTCCATCTGAAAGACCTATCGGGGTGAAGAAAGCTAAACTGAAAAGAAAGGTAAATGAAGATTCATCATCGCTCATCAATGCTATGAAGGAAGAAAACAAACGACTTGTTGAAGAGATGAAAAATATAAACGACCAAATAAAATATCAATTGGAATTACGCGACAAATCTCATGCTTTAAAAGAAATGAGAGAAGAAAATAAAATTCTGTTTCAAGATGTGAATTCCATAGCAGATCCTAGAGTTCGAGCATACGTTGAAGCTGAAAAAGCACGAATCTTGGAGAAAAGAGCACAACAAGCCCAATCAAATCCATTTCCAACCAATGCATTTGACCAATTTTTTAATGATCTTGGAGGAAGCGGTTCCAACTTACCAGATTACTAAATTGTCATGCTTGTTTTTTGGTTTCCGGTTTGGGTTTATGATGTATTTTTCTTTCTTTCTTTTTTGTGTGTGTTTGTTTTTTATTTATCATGGTTTAGGATGTATTTTTCCTTTTTTTTGTATGGTCGTTAATTTTCATGGTTTATGATGTATTTTTATTTTCTGTTGTTCTATGTTATCTTTCAATATTATAACTAGTTTGGTAATATTAATGTCTTTTTTATTTGTTAAATTTGTAGTCTCTTTAAAATTAATATGGTTTGTAAATTTTTTTTTCTAAAAAAAACACTAATAATATATAATAAAAACGAATAAAACAATATTTAACTTAACATAAATTACTAAATATATATATATATATAATTACTACAATGTGTAAAATTTAACTTATTAAAGATAAACATAATTATTATATACAATATATATAATAGGTGGGGTATATTGGGATATTGTGATATTGTGAACAAATATAAAATAATATGATATTCATTATTTTATATCCATGAAATAAATAAAAAAATAGTATTTTTTAAACTTATTTTTCCAATTCATTTTATCTTAGCATTTTCAATTACAAATAATAAAAATAGGTTGAATTTATCAATTATTAAAGAGAGGGGTCAATTGAAAATAAAAAACAAAATTGAAGGACTCAACTGAAATTAAAAAAGATGAAACGCATATTTTTGCGTTGGACGCAAAATTGCGTTGAACAGAGGAGAGAGAAGAGGACAAACGCAAAATGGGATCGGATATGCAGTTCGGTTGGAGAGATTTGTACTGCAAATTTTGAGATTTGCAGTACAGTTGGAGACGGTCTAAATAAAATACGTCTATTAAACTAGTGATTTAAACAGACAGTGAACAAACTATTTGTGAGTTATTGACTGGTCCAAGTTCTTAAGAATCTTAGTTCAGTCAAAACGTAAACACAATGACAATATATCTCCACGGGCATTGCCGAAGGAGAATATGAAAATAAAATAAAAATATTTTCAATATGACAATAAGATATAATTTAATAGCCTAAGGTTTGGATATGTCGTAATAACAATATTTTCTTGGAATATAAATATATAATACCATGTTTGATCTCTTTTTCTATTTATGGTACTTTACAATAGAGAGTCATCAAACTTTCATCAAAAATTTTATGGATGGTTTTCTTATGAAACCATCCACCACTTAATATATTGACACTTGTCCAAAGTGTATTTATTGCAGGACACGTGTCAATACACTATTGGTGAATAAGTGTGGATGACTCCATAAACCAAGTCATCCGATGACTCCATAGCAAAACTGGAAACTTCATATCCAAACAACAATAATATATTATCTAAATGACTTTGGAAGATAAATAGTACCATGTATATTGGTAAATGATGGTTGATCTCCTTTTCTATTTACGGTGCTTTACAGTAGAGACTAGAGTCATCAAACTTACCAAAAATAGTTCCCAATTTTTTTTTCTTTCTGTCCTTGTGTTTTTTCTTTCGGTGTGCGATCCTCGCAAAATTCAACTAAGTTGTGTGACTAAATATACATGGACGATATTCATCCCATATGTACTTGTAACAGTCACCTACTATAGTAGAATACAAAGTACATAAGAAATAAATAAAATGCCGATTCATGGATGATATGCATCCCATATGTACTTTGAAAAGTCACCCACAATAGTAGAATGCAAAGTACCTAAGAAATAAATAAAACGCCGGGTCTAAAAGCTCCAAGATATAGTTGCAAGGCCAAGATTTAATTATGTGGTACTACATTAATACTAATCGTGTTTAACCCGTAAAACAGGTCAATTTACTTTTACTAAATTTAATAATATTTAAATTTAATAATAAGAGAAAAATTAAGNTATTGGTATACTTTAGAAATACCACATATAACTAGTTTATGACCTAAATATGCAATTAACAATATATTACTTATATATTAAACTCACATATATATTAATACAACTTAAACATTGTGATTCATAATAAAATTGTAAAGTTGTTCTTTTATTAAATGTAGTGTTTTTAGCTAAAAACCTTACATAACACATTTCCATTTCTTTTAAAAACTTTATTACTTTTACCTCTATAAAATTACCATCTATATATATTACTACCCTTAACAATTTCGTCTTTCAAACACATATGATAAAATTATAAATATTTTTATATTTAAGTAAATATTTATAAGATCTTGTTATTGTAAGAATATGTGGCCCGAAAGTATTGGGCCCACGATTAATTATTTTATTGGGCTAGGTCTTATTTAATGGTCAAACAAATCTAAGCCATTAATCTGAATATTTGATAGACGTACCAGATCTAAAGTCACTCTTATATAAATTAGTCTTCTCTCCTCCAATTAGGTACACAGTAATTATCCCATCACTTTTTTGCTACGTTAGATCTAACAATCGATCCAACCCGTGTGATCATCAACATCAAGATCACAAATTATGTCGCATCAAGTAAGTATTTCGTATACATCAAGTTATTTATTCAAGATCCGTGATTATGCATGGTATCAGAGCATGTGTTATGAATAAATAATTTGTTATGTATAATATTGAATCTTATGAAGAACAATTGGATCGATTGATAGAATATTTTAATTGTGTCTGAGATAAATTTCGGTTTCGGCAATCGGCACATATGAATTGAGGCCTTGTAATGATGAGTCTGGTGGCTTGCGAAAATCTTTATTGATGTGTATTATTTGATTCTCTGAATTTCGCATAATTGATGGTGTATAATTGTTGGCCAATTAAATGATCTGCCTTTGAATTTTTAATATGAGAACATATATACATATATTTTTTTTGAAACGATATAGATAAAACAAACACATAATTACAACTAGACAACAGCAAGAACAACCCAAGCATCCATCTAGCTGAATCTAGGGAGACTATCCTGCGACAGACCTCTAGAGACTACTTTAACTCACCCACAAGTCGCCCACAAAACAAACAACTTAATAAGCTAAACTAAACAAATCCCATAAGGGATAAATCTAGCTTCTACCAAGGAGAATAACAACAAAAACTATAAAAACACCACAACAGCACAACACAAAAACAAACATCAACATAACAACACAAAACACAAATAAGTAGAATAACACCCTCTTCTCCACAGACGAGACATTCCGTAACAAACTATGCCCGACACCTAGAGACAATCGCCCACTCGGATAGGACTCCAGTTCGAGTACTCCTCCAGAAACTCCAGTGTAGCCACGGCTAGTGGAACCGCACCAGACGACCAAAATCTTCTCCCAAACGGACCGCCTCTCCTTGGAGCTGAACCGGAGGCTGGCTGACGACCCCCCCATCCCTCCTACCAATAACAACCCTAATCGACTCAATTAATCGCACAACCTACCAACCTCCAAATCCCCATGTCAAACCTCCCGACCAAGCCCACACCACCAAGCCCCACATGCCTAACCACCAAATCAAAGCTGGGGAGACGGAGAGAGGGGAGGGGAGTCTTACCTCAACCTCGACTAGCGCCTTGGAGGCGAGTCAAAGTTTGACGAACAAGCGCGACTCGAAAACTGAAAAGTCCCCCGCAACGACATAGGCGCATTGCGTTTGGCGAGCCCTACACCGGGGTGTCTTTGGCTCCAAGAGAGGCAAACACCGTGACCAGCGGTGGCCGGAACTGGGCTGCACGGAGAACTCTATGGAGTGGAGGCAGCGACGACAATGGAAGGATTTTGCGCGAGTTACGGATTTGGGGAAGAGAATTGGCGAAACCGAAAGATTGGTGAATATCCAAATGTGTTAATTAGTAAAATTTTATATGAGAACATATATTATTTAAAAAGCAACATTAGACTAGCACAATATAATCTACATACCCTCACAATAGTCTACATGCCCTCCCTGTGTGCAGACCTTCCGTCTTCAGGATTATATATATGAATGTGTTACCAGTCTTAACGGATCTCACACAAAGTCTGAGAGTCTCGTGCTTGGTCGTTGCATTCATCTCCGGCAACATCAAAATTTAATAATAAGCTAAAAAGAAAAGGAACATTAATTAACCACAGAAGAAAATGATGATGGATTCCCGGATATGGAGCCGCCTGCCGGAGCACCTCCTGGAGCTCGTCCTCTCCTTTCTCCCCCTCAAAACCCTCCTTACCCTCAGATCCACCTGCAAACACTTCAACTTCCTCCTCTCCTCCCCCCTCTCCGCCTTCTCCTCCCGCCGCCGCCCGCCCCTCTCCTCCCTCATCCTCCTCTCCCACCCCCAATTCTCCCGGATATGCCCCCTGCTCAACGCCGCCGCAAGCTCCTGGCACGGCGCCTCCCTCTCCCTCCCTCCAAATCTATCCTCCTCCGCCCTCGTCTCGTCCGCCGGCGGCCTCCTCTGCTTCTCGTCCCCGACCTCCTCCTGCTTCGTCGTGTGCAACCCCCTGAGCCGATCCACGCGCCGCGTGACGTTCCCCTTCTGCCCTTTCCACTTCGAGCTTGCCACGCTGGTCCCCGCCCCCAACGGCTACAAGCTATTCGTTCTCTCCGGCAACGCCTTCGTCTACGACTCCACCACCGAGTCCTGGCGGGAATACTCAGGTCTGTGCCGGAAATCACCAGCAATTCAATTTTTTCTAATTTATTTGCTAAATCCCCAAATTCTGATATTCTCAACCCGATTAGGTTACAATCGGATGCTCAATGATAACCATCATCAAAAGGCCGCTCTTCAAAACGGTCTCCTTTTCTTCTCCACGCCCGAGCCCTTTCGAGTCGTGGGCTTCCATTTAGCGACAGGGAACTGGGAGACTTTGCGGGCCGGGCTGCCAGACGGGCTGACTTTCGTCCGCCTGGCGAGTGACGTGGCAAGCAAGCTGTACCTCATTGGTGGGATTGGGAACAACGGTATCTCGAGAAGCGTGAAGGTATGGGAGTTGGGAGATGATGACAGGGCTTGGGTGGAGTTCGAGACATTGCCCGAGACTGTGTGCCGGAAATTTTTATCCATTTGCTATCATAATTATGAACACGTGTACTGTTTCTGGCAGCAGGGCTGTATTTGTGTGTGCTGCTATACTTGGCCTGAGATATTGTGTTACAAGGTGTGTAGGAGGACTTGGCATTGGCTGCCAAAGTGCCCTTCATTGCCTGAAAAGTGGAGCTGTGGGTTTAGGTGCTTCTCGTTTGGGCCGGACCTCTATGCTGCCGTGTAGATGGATTAATTTTTATTGCTATTTGTTTTATGCATATAATACATTTGGCAAGTGACATTGCTAGCCGGTAAATCTTTTTGGACGGGGCAAATGGAAATTTTTGCTAATGTTGGAAATCTTGCAGAAAAAAAGAACATGGAAATTGGAAAATAATTGCAATGCAGGGCATGCTTGGTGGATTTGCCTGAATGTACTGAAAACTAATAGAATTAGAATTCTAAAAGGAATCTGTTTAGTTGCTATGTTTACCAGGTCTATCTGTACTGTCCTTTATATGAGAAGGCTTAAACTAAATATGAGATTGGCTTAAACTAGATATGAGGCCATGGCCAGCAAGACTCTTTATTGCTGATCACTCAAATCAGATTAGATTGACCTGAGGTTCTTAGGTATGATCTTGCAAATCACAGACCCATCTTGCCTGAGAAGGATTCATTACAGTTACAACCAAACATCATTTTGAATCCAAATAGTTTGACAAATAAGTTGCCAGACCAAACAGAGCTCTCATAATTGGCACATGAAGAATAACATGATCAAATCAGTTTAAGAAGCTTACCTTGTAGTTGAATAAGATCCAGAGCTGGGACTCCTACAGAGTAACATACAACACTTCTGTCCAGACCAAACCGAGTCGATTGCGGGTATCTCGAGAGCTTCAACTTTCGGAGATTTGGTCTTCCATGATAGGAGAAAAGCACAAGCGCTGCAGAACAATGAATAATGCCTGTGTTGTCACAATGTTAAAAATAGCCAAGTTTTGTTGAGGAAAGATGATTTACAGTCATTTTCCTACTTCCACAAAACATTTCTGGAAGTTTTAGCATACATAAATGGAAAAAATAGCCATCACATCATGTTTCCACAAAAACTGATTAAGCTTAGACTAGCTTTTATTAATATAATTATATAAATAAGATTTAATATCTATATATTTATTTATTTATTTATTGTAAAGATAATTTTAATTATTTTTGTTCAAGTACTTATTTTATTTAAAGATTTAGTGTCATATTAAAATTCTGTTATTTTTTTAAAGTAGTATGCTATTTTTGTTTTTGTATATAACCATAAATGTTTACTATATGTTCGATGTTGTTTTATACTCCCTCTATTCATAATAAGTGTCGTTTTGAGGAGTTGCACAATAATTAAGATTTTTTTTTCAATATGAAAAAACGTAGTGTATTTATTAGCTAAATGAGGATAATAATAGAAAAATATTTACAAAAGATCCAAAACGTCATTTATTTAGTTAATGGTTGACAAAATCAAAATGACATTTAAAAAGAATAAAAAGTAGTATATTTTTGTGTTTTACAGTTTAGTAATGTAACTTGTCCAAAATCATATATCTTTTAAATTAAATATTGTACGCGGTTCAACCGGTTTAATCGATTTTTACCGTCTATTTATCTATTTTGTTTGATTTCAATTGAATGTTACATATCTACAACACAATAGCATGCATGTACACGCATGGTGAGAGTGATTACAGGAAAAAGGGAGCAGAAAGAAACCATAAACAATTGCTACAGTTGTTGGAAAATGTGTAACTTTAGAAATACATACAAAATGTAGTAAAGATGTAATTCCGAAATTAAACAAACAACTTTTATTATTGAGAATTTAATGATACCCCTCGACAGGTTAATTTCATCTGATTTTTATTTATCGAATTAACACACATCATCCATATGGGAGTGTGTTTGTTATTCAATAAAATTTAAAAATATTATACCAAAATCGTCCGCTTATGTCCTATTTCTTGGCATGAATGATTATTTACAAGTAAGAATGTGCATCGATTGGTTGATTCGAAATGATAGAAATTTTGAAAATTGAATAAAAATTTTGTTATTAAGACTAACCCAACAAAGTTTGCATTGCTAATTGAACCCCAAAACGAACCTGATTAGACTGAACATTACGAAATAATTTATATTTATATGGGTTATTTCAGTTGTTGCCTAAAATTTGCTCATCCAAGATAAATAAATAAAAACTACTTCAAAATAATAAATAATTCAGAAACAAAAAATAAAAAACTTCTATTTTGAAATAAATACCCCAAAACGAGTTCCACTACTCCAAAGCACTTGCATTCCTTATAAGAATAGCCATTTTGTGC